GTAAGAATATACATTTCTTATTTAGAATGATCAAAAATGAAGGAATGAATGCACTAATAAAAGTACTAAATAAATGAATTTTTAAAATATTTCTATCTTCGTAATTTTTTTTTTTTAATCACAGAAATTTATCTAATAATAATTAGAAAATTTCATTTTACTATACATATAATAATTGATTTATATTTACACAGTGTGCATATTAATGAGAAGGTATTTTGAATCATTCTGATTAAAAACGTATAAGTCTTGCTAAATAAATGAAATAACAAACATATAGCAGTTAGCACTCATAAGTGCATATTAATATGTACGAAACATACATTTTCATTCCAAAATTAATTATAAATAAATACCAAATGAAATAATTAATGAGATTATAAGAGAGAGTGGGAGAAAGTTTTTTTACTATATATAAATATTTAAAGAAAAATTTTACAAGTGATGTATGGTGGAGTAATAGTGAGTAGTGTATATATATGAAGATGATTAATACATTTTTTTATTTATTATATATAAAAGTAGTAAGATTATTTTTTTGGAATACAAATGTATAGTTTTGGTACATAAATGAAACAATTTAAAAGGCTTGCCTGCACTTAAAAAGTGTATATGAAAATAGCAGTAAGTACAAACATACCTGCTAAATGCAGATAAATATAATTGCTAAAAGCAATCAAACATACCAAAAATCGCAGTAAGTACAAACATACCTGCTAAATGCAGTTGAATATAATTGCTAAATGCAATTGAACATACCTGCTAAATGCAGAATAATATAATTATGGCAGCCAGCACTCATAAGTGCATATTAATATGTCCGGACTATACATTTTCATTCCAAAATTATTAATAAATAAATACCAAATGAAAGAATTAATAAGATTATAAGAGAGAGTGGGAGAAAGTATTTTTACTATATATAAATATTTAAAGAAAGATTTTACAAGTGATGTATGGAGGAGAAATAATGAGTAGTATATATATATATATGAAGATGAAAATAATACTTTTTTTTTATTTATTATGTATAAAAGTAGATAGATTATTTTTTTGGAATAAAAATGTATAGTTTCTGTACATAAATGAAACAATTTAAAACGCTTGACTGCACTTAAAAGTGCATATGAAAATCGCAGTAAGTACAAACATACCTGCTAAATGCAGT